GTTCAGAACGGATTAACCATAATTACATTGAACCTTATGGGAAAATTTGATTTGGGATGCGGCCAAAATCGGTTGGTGACCAAATTCAGAGGGGTCAGAACAGATTAACCGTATTTACATTGAACCTTATGGGAAAATTTGATTTGGGATGCGGCCAAAATCGGTTGGTGACCAAATTCAGAGGGGTCAGAACAGATTAACCGTATTTACATTGAACCTTATGGGAAAATTTGATTTGGGATGCGGCCAAAATCGGTTGGTGACCAAATTCAGAGGGGTCAGAACAGATTAACCGTATTTACATTGAACCTTATGGGAAAATTTGATTCGGGTCGCGACCAGAGTTGCGGAACGAATTAAGTTCGTGACCCGAGGTACCACTGTATATGGTTGAAAGGCTGGTTTATAACCCAGAGAAGCATTAGGATTAAATGGTACGTCCTCAGAAGTGCTCTAGAAATTAATATGAGGAAGGCCCAAAGGCTTTTGGGGGTATTCTATTTTATAATAGTGATTTCAACATAAAAAAGTTTGCAACTTGGTGTATCTCAGGGTAAGTCCCATTGATTCCAGTGGTGCTCCTTATAATTAAGCATTAGACCATAATGTTTGGATTTTTCCCAGTGCCTGCCTTCATAATTGTTTCTTGTTCCTTCCCCCTTAGGTCTTATGAATGACAAAGACTCTAAGGATTCGATGACTGAGGGAGAGAACCTGGAGGAGGATGAAGAAGAAGAGGAAGGTGGAGTAGAGATCGAAGAACAATCTGGAAATGAAAGTGAAATAAATGAACCAGAGGAAGAGGTGATTCTCTCTCCTCTTAACTTTATCAAATACAGTTTGGAAGAGTGGGAAATACAGCTGTTAGCCAATTGCTCAAAATTCACAAACAAATAGCTCATGTTTAAGGCCTGCTATTCACCACAACTGAGGAGATGTATATAATTTGGGCAAGCAAGAAGGAGCAGTCCAAGCTCATCCCTGCCAAGAGTGTCCACAGAATATGGTTAAAAAAAGTCCAGGTGCACTTAGAAAAAAGGTGGAAATTTGTTTGCACCATGGTGGCTGCCATCTTGACATTTTTAACCATACCCTGTGGACTCTCTTCTCTCAGCTATGATAATTTATTAAGTAGAGGGATAGAGTTGCTGAAATCCAGTTGAGAATATTCATGATTTTGTGAACCGTGTATGCAGATTTCACTAGAATCCCATCTGTTCTGATTTTCTGTTAGGAGTGATAGAGAGTAGAAGATAAAGACATGATGTTCAAGCCCAGGAATGTCTTTATGAATGCCAATAGTCTTGTCATAGTTAGAACTCTTCCATTTTGCCTGCTTTAGAGCATTTGCCTCTATACGTTTTGGAGAATAACTTCCATCAGCCCCTACCAGCAAAAGATTCTGTAAAATGTGGCCCTAGACATGTGGGAAAGTTTTAAATTGCCTACCTCTGCTGTAAACATAGATAAATAATATTAGCAATATAATACTTTTTGATATAAAGTAGAGGTGGCCTTCTTTGTCCATGGTTTTGCATATTAACCATGGAAAAGTAGTTTCAGAGGACAGAGAGTTGGCATATTTTACACAAGTGTGAAATGATGGACAGGCTTTTGTATGTCCATCATTGTACTTATTTTTCACAGATCCCATTATCTGCATAGTTTGGCTGTGGTGGAACCCTGTGGATGACCCCTGACCCAGGGTCAGCCTTATCTATCTTGGATAGTTCTGTTTCACATAAAGTAGTTTATTTTTATTTACTTGTTTCATTATATTATAGCTGCCCACTCCAGCAGATACTGGATTCCACCATCATTCCGTCATCTTCTTAAGAAAAGCAGACAGATAGCTGGATAATTTTTAATCATGTTCGGTGGGAACATTGTCCTTTTCTGAACAACTGGACTGGATAATTAAGTTCAGAGTGAATTTTGAAGTAACAGTGACATGATTGCTAAAATATCTTAAAATTAAGTTCATACAAGTATGTTTGTACACAAAAGCTTTGAAGATTGTAATTTGTATAACTCACGTTAAAGCAAGACTTAGGGCTGTGCATTAAAGCTCTTGATCTTTCAGGAGGGCTCAGAGAATGATGATGATGAAGGAGAAGAGGAAGAAGAAGAAAATACTGATTATCTCACCGACTCTAATAAGGAGAATGAAACTGATGAAGAGAACACGGTATGTATTTTTCTTTAACAACATTTAGTGCTAAAAAGACTGCATATAGACAAAGTTAGTCTACTGGGGAAAAATGAGTTTCCTTTGGTTTCTCATTTATATGAAAAACAGCTGCAAACACATAATACCTTAGCAACAGTTTTAGTTTGAGTACAGCATCTGTTGGTAGGTAGAGTGCCATAATCGCTAATCTCCAGACAAACATCAGGAAGCAAAGCCACAGACCACTTTCACATCAACCATGTGCTGCTGTGGTAGAACAGCACCTATTAATATTTTATTTCCAATATTGTCTCTGAGTTGGGGAGATAAGATTCCAGTAAACTCTCTCCTTAGCTTACCCTATGCAGATAAGGTGCCCTCATTAGAATGGATGGTGCTGTTTTCACATGGAAGAGATATCTTGATTGGAAGAGTAAAAAGAAAGAAACAGTACTTAACAGAAGTGGTCACATTGCCTTAAAATGACATTTAAAGGAACTGACCATAGAAGCTGGAATGTTTGTATGAGTTATGCTATATGTCAAAAGAAAGCTTATCTCAAAACAATGAGCTGAACAGTGGTGTTTTTCTAATGCTTCCTGCTACAAACTATTGTTCAAAGAAGGAAGGGTTGGCCTGACATAAGCTGGGGAAGACAACTGAATCTAAGGAACTAAATTACATTGAGATAGAAAGAGTGCTGCAAATTTAATTCAGAGGCTTATCCAGGGCAGCATTCTGTTCTTGCATTGACAGCTAGGTGAAAACACCTGGAGCATTAGTACAATGTCTTCTGGTCCCCATCCATATATCTAATACTATGCGGACCTTGGGGTTCTCTGAGCTTGGTTGTTTTGCAGACATTTCGTTACCCATCTACAGTGGGGCAAAAAACTATTTAGTCAGCCACCAATTGTGCAAGTTCTCCCACTTAAAAAGATGAGAGAGGCCTGTAAAGA